AGAGAATTTAAAAACGAATTTACTGTATAATACCTACCTGCATTTTGGTCCTATTCTTCTGATAAATAATTCCCAGATGGGTTTTCCAAACAATAAAACTTGTAGATTTAGTAGATATTTGTAATAAAATTATTTCGTAGTTACCTTACCTAGTACCTGATATGAATAATTCCAAGAAACTATTATCTAAATATGTATAGAAAATCATTTTATTTATGTGATATTTTTAAATATGTGGCAATATGCTCTTAATCAAGTACATATGAATAGCATATGCATTTATAAAGAAACCCACAAATATGCTGCATATATATGCACATGCATATAATCCAGTTTCTAGTCATGACTAAAAAAAAGCCCAAAATTACAATGTTGCAAACATAGTCTTGCTTTAGTCTTGTTCCGCCACTGATATCAAATCCTTAGTTAACTCAATAACCTTATAAATTAAGGCCTGCCATCGACAAATACTAGATTTGTTCTTAATTGTCTTTGGTTTAGAACAATTAAGACCGTTAGTATTTTTATATAATTGATTTATTGGATAATAGATTATTCAATAACGGCATAGATAATGATAGAAAATTGTTTAATATGTAAATATATTGTAAATCTAAAAATAAGATAATAAACGATTGATATTAGATTACTTATATTTAATTACTCAATAAGCAATTTATTTTAATACTTTGATTACGAGAATGTAAATCATAAGAATATGCCCAAATGTTAATTTGCCATTAAAGATCAAAACGTAGTTTAAAGTATTAATTTTGGTTTCGCAGAACCTCGCGTACGACTTATTTCTATTAGGGAAATGAAAATTGATGTATTTTATATATCCATATACACTGACCGGCAAAAAAAGTGGCCACCCTATAAATTTCCGAAAATAAAAATTCATTGGACAGTTTTATGCACTGTTTCAAATTGTATTCTCAACATCTTTCATTTTTAAAAGAATAAATGGCCATTACTGCTTGATTTCTTGGCATAATTTATTTAATTAGAAGGCTACAAAAGAGAATAGTGTAATGTCTAAACGAATTACAAACAATAAAAATTACGAGTGGACTTACCTACACAAAAACTTTCATTCTTACGAGACGTGATATGGAGAAATAAGCACATGAGAATGGAAGGAAAAACACGCTTATATAAAACTTATGTACAACCGATATTAACCTATGCTATTGAAACAAGGACGAAAACATCAATTACAAAGAACATTTTAAGAATAATAAATGTAAAACACTGAGGGCGATAGCAGATAAAACTTTAAGAGACAGAATCCGTAATACACAAATCAGAGATATGTGTAAAGTACATAATGATATCGTCAGATGGGGACGCCAAAGAAGACGAGAAAGGAACCAACATATTAACAGAATGGAAAGCGAGAGACTTGATCAAATAGTAAGAGATGGAAAACCAGAAGTTAAAAAACTACAGGGTAGATCGCCTAAAGAATGGAGATGGAGAGATAGCTAACAGTTAATATCGCACGCAAATACTCCTAAGTCAGATCAGAAACAATAAACTCCTGGACAAAATAAAAACACCACTCATATTATTGATAATTTACTGTACGATAAGTTGCCTAAAAAAAATAATCCTAAATAGGGAAATTCAAACTAAAGAAATAAAAAGAAGAAGAAAGTTGGCTTAGGCAGCATTCGGTAAACTGAACTATATACTCAGAAATCAACAAATTCAATTACATCTAAGATCTAAAGTTTTTGATGCATGTATTATTCCGATATTAACTTATGCGGCGCAAACATGGACAATCACAAAAAAGAATATGAATATACTTAGAGTCACTCAACACGCGATGGAAAGAGACAAGAAAACAAACACATGGATAAGATAGAAAACCAAAGTCACCGATGTGGTGCAAAAATCATTTAAGTTGAAATGGGAATACGCTGGACATGTAGATAGGAGCGATCTAAACAAATGGCACAGATCAATTTTAACCTGGAGACCATACCAACACAAAAGACCCAGAGGCAGACCTCCTATGAGATGGACCGATGATCTGAAAAGGACTGCCGGGAAAAATTGGCTACAAGTAGCGTACAATAAAAAACAATGGAAAAGAAGACTTGAAGAGGCTTATGTTCAGATGTGGACGTGAATGGCTAGACGAAGAAGAAGAAGAAGAAGTTGCCTATGGACCTTGTTTGACAATAGCAGTTGTTATGAAAGCTAATTATAGTCTTGTTTTAACAATAATTTGTATTAAACTTCGTTTAAAACTATAAACTTTTCATAAAAAGTGCCGATTATAGCAAAGTGCTTGTGAGGAACAAGCGTTTTATTGTGATATTTTTCATTACATGCATGTTTGGAAGTTGATTTGCATAAAAATCAAATAAAAAAATAAACCGCCAAAGAAATTTGTCAATGGAGTAGGAAGTGCGAGGATCGTTTCTCCTAGATAAAGGATATTCAATGCGATACGTTGCAGGTTTGTTAGGAAGACATCATTTCAGCAGCAGTCGCAAGGTTAGGCGATATAATGAAACAGGGTCGTATCATCGAAGACCAGAGCAAGCGCGAAAACGTTGCACTAATCAAATTGATGATTGTTTTTTGAGATAACGTGCTCTCAGAGATCGGAGAGTCACCATCAATTTACTAAAAAATGAACTAGCAGATATTTGAAATATCGTGATATCGTCTCGAACGGTTAGAAGACGTTTACATAAAGTAGAATTGAGCAACAGGAAACCGGCCAAAAACCCTTCTTTACCAGAGAACACACTGTTCAGAGATTGAATTTTGCAAGATTGCATTAAAATTGGACGTGCTTAGCGAAGGCGCGGAGAAAGGTTTGCCAGCTGCAATTTCTCTCCTAAATTACATTTTGGAGTGGCTCTAAAATGTTTTGGAGGGGAATTTGATTTGAAGCTAGTACGGAATTGGTCCATATACGTACGAGCTCTATTATTATTTTTAAGCCCTTTTCTCTATTCGGATTGCCGAATATAGGCCTTCCCTAATTCTTGCCATTCATCCCTGTTGTTTGTAAGACGTTTCCACATTGGCCCTGAAGTTCTTTTAATATCGTCGCTCCATCGCATTTGCGGTCTTTCTCGTGATCTTTTGGCTTCATATGTTAGTTATGTCCAGTCCATTTCCATTTCAGTTTAGCTGCCTGTTCGACAGCATCATTTACTTTTGTTCTATTACGAATGTCTTCATTAGTTTTATGGTCTTTGAGTGAGATACTCAGCATCTGCCGCTCCATAGCTCTCTGAGTTTTTCTGATCTTCTCCATGTTTATTTTAGTGAATGTCCAGGTTTGAGCTCCATATGTAAGCGGAAGAAATAAGCGGAGGATAATAATCGCAAACAGATGCTATTTTGGACTGAGTAGACATATGAGAAGTAGAAACTTAAGCCAAAAAACAAAAATAACCATATACAAAACCCTTATACAGCCAGTGTTGACATATGGATCGGAGACATGGACCATCTCCAAGGCAGACAAAGACCTTCTGCTTATATTTGAACGAAGGATCCTGAGAGGAATATTTGGTGGCATCTATGAAAATGGTGTTTGGAGGAGAAGATACAACTACGAGGTATACCACAGATATAAACAAATATTTGGTGGTAATGACGTAGTATCTCTTATAAGAATAGGAAGACTAAGATGGGCAGGACATATAGCAAGATCACAGCAGAACAACCTTCCTAGAAGAATCCTTATGTCACAACCCGTGGGAAGTAGAAAAAGGGGTAGGCCAAAACTCAGATGGAAGGATGGTGTAGATGAGGATGGTAGAAAGATAGGCGCAGAAAACTGGCAACGGTTGGAAATGCATAGGACTGCCTGGCGTAATAGACTTGGGAAGGTCGAGGCTCTTTCATAGGGCTGTAGCACCATTGATGATGATGATGTATATTCATCTACGTGTTCTATCTCTGTCCCTTCGATGTTTATCATAGATTTGTCATCTCTGTTTGACATTAGGTTAGTTTTGTTGAAATTTTACACACAGAATCCCTTTTTTTTTAGGGATTCTGTGTGTAACTAATCAATCATCATATTCAGTGCATTCCACGTATCGGCTATTAGTACTACGAGGTCTAAGAATGCTCATTATTACTTAGACAACATTATTGACCAACATGTAATGCATTTTGCTCTGTATCTTGGACCTAATTTTATATTCATGCAAGACAACGCTCGTCCTCGTGTGGCTCGACAGGTTATTGGCTACCTAAATGATGTTGATATTCCATTATTAGAGTGGCCACCTAACAGTCCGGACATGAATCCTATAGAACATTTATGGGATTATCTAAAAAAAAAGATTCGAAGTCGTAGACCCCCTATTGCTAATCACAACCAACTCATTGAGGCCATTATTGAAGAATGGGAAAATATTCCGCAAGCTTTTGTTGAACATTTGATATCAAGTATGCCTCGACCCTAAATGCAGTCATAAGAAGTACAGGAGGGCCTACACGGTATTAGTGTTGACCCAGATGCATTTTATTGTGTTACTTTACTGATTTTTTTCTTTTTGTAATTTGGAGTGATGCTAGCTTTTTACACATTTCCGACAAAAGCAAATTTTGATAGAAGCAATAAGGCAAATTAAGGTCATGATAAAGTCATGTTGGACTTATTTGTAGGTGTTTATTATTATTTCAATGTAACTTAGTTATATTTTGTGTTAATATTGTAAATATTTAGATTAATTAAAGTGGTGCGTTAATTTTGTCCAGGAGTTTATATATAGTGTTAAACATAGTGTTTTGTTAGATTAACCAATCAGTTATTTTAAAATTGTTAATATAATAGTTTGCAATTGCATTAAATAAGTACATTGTGTAGGTAGATGTTTACAAATAAAAAGAATAATTGCCAATTGTTAAAATAAAACTTAAGCAAACAGAAATGTAAAAATCAACAGTTTTATCATCCTGTATTCACTTATATATAATCACTAAATTACGATTTAATCATTTTAATTCAATACCAAACATTTATCGTACATCAACAACTAACGTAACGATAAAAAATATAAAACTGAAAGTATTTTCACTACGTCATAGTAAGTTAGTTACAGTTTCAGCACAGATACTTGAATATCATTGTTTTATTATCTCTTTCGCGTTTTTAACAAAGATACCTACGAACGCGAAACACTCGCGTGATAATTTCCGCTAAAAATAATTAAAAACTTTGTTTCTAGTTTAACAAATGACTTTGAACTTGTAAGTGATCTGTGGAAAGAGTAGTGTTACGAAAGAGTGGTCAGCTGTTTACCTACTTATTTTATGTAAGTATTTTACTTGGTTATGTATTCGGTATGTAATTCATTGATTATTTAGTGACGCGGCTGTAAATAGAAGAGTGAGCATGTGCGAATGCGAAGCGAATGCTTATTAGGAGGTCAAGTATTTTAGGAAATCAAAACACAAATTAATGCATTTCCAACCGGTATAAGGATTGCAAATCGGTTATAATTTTAATTTCATTTCACTGTTAATGTGTTAGATTTTTAAAGCGAAATAAATTTTAGATTATACATACTTAGAAAAATTATTATTTTATTAAAAAAAAATTCTCAAAAGTGTTGAAGTCCTATGCGGGTAATCTCGATAATTTTTACTCAATTTGTTACAGTACTCAGTATGTGTATAAGAATATCTAATGACAATGTTTTGAAAATCACTTTGAATTTGTGGTACAAGTAAAACAAGAAAGCAAGTTGGAATTACTGATCACATTATAGGATTGTCAAATAAACTACCAAAGAAACGGACTTATGATCAACGTTTTTTTTTTTCGTTTATTTGTTTATAATTTAAGTTAGGTGAAGTTTTAAGTCATCCAAAGACAAGGCAATATGTACTTTATTTCTTTTTTGCCTACAGAACAATACAAAAATTGACTGACAGTAGTTAATACATTTTTGACATAACATTAAACTATCAACAATGTCACTTCATAATAGAAACACTATATGACAACATCAACTTTTTATGTTGGATATTCTAACACTCTCCCTCAACATGAAAAGTAGATAAGCTAAATAATAGACCTTAACAAAATAAACATTATTTTAAATTCAAATTCTGACAGATTTACTGCAATTTCTTTGAATTTAATGACTTGGTCAACATATCAGCCACCATTTCATTCGTCGACATATATTTTAATTGAATATCATTGTTAGCTATTTTTTCACGAATAAAATGATACTTGACATGAATATGTTTCGTTCTCTTATGGTATACTTGATTTTCCGATAACTTTATGGCACTTTGATTATCATTAAATATAACCATCGGAAAACCTTCAAACAAAAATTTACAGTTCACATTGTTTTCAAATATTTCTTTACATAAATATGTTAAGTACCTATAATGATTCTTTTGCTGCCTCAGTTTTGCCAATATATTTAGCTTCAGTTGAACTTAAAGCCAAAGTTCTTTGCTTTTGACATTCCCATGAGATAGGATCACCAGCCAACGAAAAAATAAATCCATAAAATGACTTTCTATCTGATGTGTTATTGGCCCAATCTGAGTCAACAAAACCATTTAAACTAACATTTGACTTTCTGTAATTAATTCCTACAGTTCTTGTACCTTTTAGGTATCTCAAAACACATTTGGCTGCTAACCAATGTTCTTTTGTATGGATCTTATTAAATTGGCTAAGATAAGTGACAGAGAAAGCTATGTTAGGCCTTGAACAAACTGCTAAATACATCATCGAACCAACCCAATCAATTCTTGATAAGGACATTCATACAAAGTTCCTTCATAAGAAAGCTTAACGTTCGGTTCTAAAGGAGTATTTACAATGCTACAATTAGTCATTTCAAATCGTTCAAGTATTTTATCAATATACTGTTCTTGACTTAATTTCAATTCAAACTCTGACCTACTTCTCTCTATCTTCATACGCAAACAATGTGTAATTGGACCCAAATCCTTAATATGAAAGTTTTTATCTAATTCATTTTTCAAAACTTTAACCTCATTATGATTATTGTAAAAAACAAAAAAATCATCTACATAGAGTGCTACAATAAGGATTGAATTCTCACTATTTTTGACAAAAATACATGATTCAATTTCACATTGTTTAAAATTCAAATTTAACAAAATTTGGTAGGTATGCCCTTTTATACCACAATCTCGAAGACTGTTTGAGACCATATATAGCTCTCCTGAGCAGACAGACTTTATTTTCCAAGTCTGGTTCATCAAAACCTTCAGGTTGAGCCATATATATGGTTTCATCAATCTCACCATTCAGGAATGCAGTCTCCACATCTAAATGAACTGTATCTAGATTTAATTCAACAGCCATCGCTAACAAAAGCCTAAAATTACTAAAACAAATGACTAGAGAATACGTTTCTGAATAATCAACCCCATGTTTCTGTGTAAAACCCTTTGCCACCAATCTTGCCTTGTACCTTACTATTTCACCCTTTTCATTTTTCTTTATTTTAAACAACCATTTATTTTGAACAATATTTGTATTTGCAGGTTTATCAAAAAATTCCCAAGTATTATTCATTCTGAGAGCTGTCAATTCATTTTGAATGGCTAATTTCCATTCATGGCTGTGGCTGCTTGACAGTGCCTCAGAAAAACTTGTAGGCTCAAATTCATTTGACATAGTAAACATGGCAAGATCAGGTACATTTTCCAGATCTTTATCTAACAAAAAATCATTATACAATTTTGGTTTATTTCTAACACGTGTAGGGTATCGCTTAGATTCTTGAAGAATATCACTATTTCTTTCTTCTCTATTCATCTCTTGATTTTCACTCGTATTTTCTTCTACACTTTTTATATTCTCAGATTCCACAATTTCACCCACACCACTTTTCACTTCTTCGGAGTTTTCATTCACACTAAAACATTCCGACTGATGTTGGTTCACTGATTGGGCTTTACCTTCAACAATTCGCAAGTTGCATATAACCTCAGTGCCTTTAAATCGTACGTCGTGGCTCGGTACGATTCTTCTTTCAGATGGAATCCATATCCTAAAACCATCCCTGTCGTTCACATAACCAACTAAATAACCATGTATCGCTTTGTCATCAAATTTACTGCGAAGATTCTTGTTAACGTGAACATAACATTCAGTGCCAAATATTCTTAAATGTTTCAAACTTCCAATTGGCTTTCCATACCACAGTTCATAGGGACTTTTACTTTCAATTGATGACTTTCCTGTGCGATTCAGAATGTACACTGCAGTATTGCATGCTTCTGCCCATAATTGTTTGGACAACTTACATGTGTTTAACATGGAACGTGCACACTCTACAATGGTGCGGTTTTCCCTTTCAACAACACCATTCTGCTAAGGTGTATAGGGTGGAGTGATACAATGCTCTATACCTCTCTTCGCAAGAAGTTCAGATACTTTTTTATTGTCAAACTCTCTCCCTCCATCGCATCTCAGTTGCTTTACTACATGGCCATTTGTACTAGCTTCATTTAAAAATTGTTCTAAGAAAGTACATACCTCACTTTTGTGTTTCATAAAGAAAACTTTCCGAAACTTACTAAAGTCATCTTTAAAACATACGTATTAACGTGCTTTTCCCAGTGAATCTATAGACATGGGCCCATTCACATCTGCATGGATCTGCTCACCAGTGACTTGTGGTCAATTGATCCTAGATTTAAATGGCAATCTATGCATTTTTCCAATTGCACATCCATCGCAAAAGCTTTCTTTGCACCCATCAATGTCTATATTCATTTTCTTCAATATCTTCTTTACATGTTGCTTATGCTGATTACCAAATCTTTCATGGTACATTTGCAACATATCTGTTGACTCTGCTAAGTTGACTTGAACTTGATTTGTCGGTTTCATAACATGTATATCAAGTGCATACAGGCCATTACAGAAGTACCCAGTCATTACAGATTCACAATTCTTTTTATCATATATATTTACACCTTTTTCATCAAATACTGTAATAAAATGTAATAAAACTCCTTTGTGCAGCAGCTTTCACAGAACATAAATGAACACTTGCTTCAGGGACATAAAAAACATTCTTCAAGTCAGCACCTTTCCATTTATTATTCAGATGCGTTTGAATTTTCACTGTTCCTTGTCCATGGGCTAACATACATACATCCTTCTTACCAAGTTATATACTTTCTGGTTCAGAAAATTCTGTATAAGATGAGAAATACTGCTTATCTGTAGTGATATGATTTGTGGCTCCACTGTCACAATACCATTTTCCAGCTTCAATACAATTGTTAGATGAGGCACTTAAAACAACAGACAAAAAAGCAGTATCATTACTTTTATTCTTACCTACATTCTCAGCTGATTTTTTCAACGGATTTGACTTCATAGCTTGGTTCTGATTGTATTTTCCTGTCGGGCTATTGCGTGCAACAAACGCAAAATATTCTACAGTACTTTGGTCACGTAATTCAATGGTACACAATTTCTCAATCAGCAAATTCAAAGTTTGATTCTTTGATGGTATCGTGTCCCACAAATCTTTGAAATTATCAAAGTCCTTACCCAAAGTTGATAAGATCCGGCCATTTAACATTCTTTCGGATAAAACATTTTCATCATGCTTCTGCAGTTCATCATTCAAATCTACAAACAGTTTCTGCAACTTCGCAACATGTGTACTAATATCTTCTTTTTCATCACGTTGGACTCTAAAAAAGGCTTCAATTAACATGTTTAACCGTTGCGTACTGCTACGTTCAAATCTCGCACGCAATTTGTCCCATATTTCACTAGCGTGAGTACACGTCAACACGAGCTCGACAACAGTTTTATCAACACAGTGCTATCTTTTTTTCGTCTTATGAGGGGGGTGGTCTAAATGTTCGAAACATACCTCGGTCCTAGAAGGTGTCCGATATTTCACAATACAGGCATTTGTTATTTTCTGTCTGCCTGTCCAAATCTGTAAAGTTATGCACTGAAGCAACCATATGCTGTGAACATCTGCACAGGAAATAATCCAAACGCCGCGGCGGTGCCCGTAGTCCATCCATTTTCTCAGTCTAGGAATCAGCGACTCCATCCACTGCGCCATCCTTCTTGTATCGTCCCATTTCTCTTACCACATTATTATGGACCTCCCCCTTTCTTCTTTTTTTAAACGTTCTGTTGCTATGTCTTCATTTTTTCTCTCGTATATTCTTCCTCTTTCCTTCACTAGCAACTCCCAATGCCTCGGCAGAGACTGTTCCGTATGCACACGCCACCCTTAATAGACTCTTTCTATCTGTTCGGGTGAGCTGCTTTCTA